ACTGGAAAGTTGTATTATTAATCTTGACATGGATAATTCCCATATATAGAGGTCAGAATTCTCCAACCAAAACAAAGCTGTTCCACCAGAGAAGTCAGTCATGAACTCCAGCCTCTTGGATCATAAACATGATAGTAAGAGTTTTTACGAATGTTAATTTTGCTTATGGATTATGGTGTAGGTAGGGGCTATAATGTATCCATGCATCGAGAGTGGCATACATCACATATAGACTCAAAACTTTTTGTAGAAGTAAAAAACCTTTTGAAAATCATCTCAAATCAATCGCGTTATTTTCGCCAAAATATTGAAGAATATAGCCTCATACACGTAAAATGATTGTATTTATTTATAGTTTATATTACACAATAACAATACATTGCCTGTATGTATGCGATTTATTAACAAGTATATGACATGAATATTTACCACTTAGAGCCTGTGTGATTCGTTTGATCAGTTTATTTCAAATAATAAAATTATTAGGTTAGAGTAGGGTAAGTTAGAGTGAGTACCATCATAGTTTACATGACACTTTACAACAGTCATCAAAATACCACTGTTTCAACATTCTATCAAGGAATATGAATCATTTGCGGTTTTTAATAGTGGTTCTACTATAAACGGAATAATGATTAAGAAATTCATTAGGCTGTAATGAACATTAATAAAATTAGCATCATACATTAAGTGCCTGTTATTTATAAACTTGTTTTAGATTTCCTATATAATCAATGAAATTACATAATAGTAAGAAAATGTACGTTCGTACGTAAATATTTAATTAAGTACTAAACGTTTAGTTTATATTGTTAAAGATATTTAATTTGACTATTATAGTTCCATCAAAGACACCTCATCACCTTAAAGGTAAAGTTAGACAAAGAAATTTTATAAATCGAACAAGTGAATCTTTGGCACACATTTATTGATTGAATATAATTGCCTAGCCAACTCATAACCTCTCATAACAAAGCACGCCACTAATTAATAAGATATCTAGAAGCTAAATAATAGAGATTTGACGTGTTAATAGTGTAAATAGAGTCTGCTATCACTATTTAAAATTGAATGTAAATTTAGACACGTAATTTGCGTACATATATGCAAATAAATAGGTACGTTATTAATTATATAAGTGTAAGAACAATAATTCAGTCTCAAATTACTTTGATATATAAAGACAAACACCTAATATCAAATGGTAATTTCTAACAAAGTAATTAAACAAACACGTGGTTTGTCAAAAGCAATTATTATTAAATTTTTACTCAGTTGTTTTTTATTATCAGGTATATCTTGAAAGTGTGCAAACATTAGATAACTGCGCTCCTCCCAGCTCGCAGCTCCCAAGATACAGGTCTAGCCTAGTTTGAGGAGATTTTTCAATATATAACTAGGTTATATACTCTGATAAAGTGATACTTGTTTTCTATCCTAAATCTGTTTCTTCTTTAGTTATAAACGCATTTCTTTTTTATTTCTAGTAAAAATTATCAGAGATTGAAGTTATTTCTACCGGCTTCTAAAATTAAAAACTGTCACAAACCGACATACGGTCAGCGAGGGGAAATGGAATCGTTTCACAAACCAGTGGGACTGGAACACGGTCGGAACGAGTTTCGATTGGCCGACCCCGAATGCAGCAGTCGCAAACAAAAAGTGCAATTAGTCGATTTTGTCGGAGCACGTTATCGACCGATGGTGACGAGTCGAGTGAATCGGACGACCTTGCGCGTCACTACGTGTGGAAACATCCAGTACGTCATATATAGGCAATACAAACAAATGTATTGAAACTTATGTACAGTACGGCACGTATTATGCAGTTTCGCTTGATACTTTTCTGTGTAATGCAAAAGGTAGGTCAATTTGATCAGGTGATCCGGTCATTTAAACAATACGTAATAAGCCACTAAAAATTGACGTCATAGCGGTACAAAAACAAGATTACATCAAAGATTGTATGGTAACCTACAAAATTACATTTCCTTTTAGATAAAACGTTGAATTAAATTATTAGTATTGTGTTGCTAGATCTTTTATTTTAAAACGAGCAATCCTATTATATTTCGATTTTACTAATACAGTTAAAGGGCAATTAATATTTAATTATTAACAAATTAATTAATTAACGAACCATGCACTTAGTGCTAAATGTTACGAACTCGAAAATCAACTCACAGAGACATAAAAATAAAACTAATTATGAAAAAGTCAGGAATATAACCATGGATTAATAAGAAACTTCTACAGTCGATATACACGGAAAAGAAGCCAGCTAGAGATCCTAAATTTACACATCATCGCTTAATTAAAAATTTGCCCAAAATTGTGCAATATGGACCAATAAAATTTTATATAATTTATTTCTAGTGAATGCAGGTTTTTTTATTTAACAAATTTGCTGCCCAACATTATAATTCGGGAATCAGAAGATTTTTAATAATGTGTAAATTATGAAATCACATACCTCTAGTTATTACTTTATCTAGTTATAGTTGTTTTAAAATTCGTCCATAACTGACAGGCAAAAAGCATGGCTCATACAGCTAAGACTCTTATCTAGAAAGATAGAACCTTGAGGTAGTATCTTAGATACGTTATAATATGTCTAAGGGTAGCACAGAGTAATCATTACGTAATTTAAGAATAGGCAATGCTCTTATATTGACGAAAGTGGGAAACAAGTATATGCAACCATGTAGAAGTGTCAATACAATAAATATTCAGTGTTGTTAAACTAATAAATATACCTTTACCAAAAATATGGTTATTTATAAATATCATGAAAGACCTAGCGACTTTCCTCAAATATTCAAATTCAATGGACTGGTTGCATAGATTTCCTATAAAAATGTTGTGCTCAAAGTAATGTAGACTTGATAGGCAGGTGGTATGTAGGTATAAGTAAACCTAGTAATTCATCTGAGAGTAAAACATGATGACCACATAATATTACCACAAATTAAATATATATATATATATATATATATATATATATATATATATATATATATATATATATATATATATATATATATATATATATATATATCTATGGCTTAAATCCTTTACACTTCCTTTTATGAATAAATTTTAAAAATACAACTACTTTTTTTTTCAAACACTGAATAATTTTATTAACCTGCTCTCCTTGCTACTAGCATAGGGTTTCCTTAACATTATTTTATTTTACATTTTAGCAGAAATACACTGATCTCTTAACCTAGCATAAAAAAATAACCTCTAAAAAGCAGATATTTCCAAAGAATAAGTATATAACTTAAATAGGTATTTTACATTTTGTTGAGTTTCTACTAAGAACCATTGTTTGTAATTACAGTTTAATCATCGAAATCTGATCTACCTTGACAGGTAATTAATGGAAAATAATTTATTCATGTACAATTAATAGGTACATACTTTTTTATGAACTTAATATATTCTTTACAAATTACTTTAATATTTCAAAAACAAGTCTACTTACTGTTTTTATCAATAGTTATTCATATTCTGATGATTGCAATAATAATGCCTATCACATGACTGCTTAATTTACATTTTTACTTTATATTTAATGTAATAAATACCATTATCCCGCAGTCTTTTCCATTACTTGGGCTCAAATTGACAGATTTTAATGTTTTTTTAAACATAATATTTATGAGAAATGAATAATTATTCAATACTACTTATCAATATAATATTTTTTAATTATTATTGAGAAAGTAACTCTTTTTATTATCATAAAATCATAATTAAACAATAAATTCATTATCAATATCACTATTAGTAAATTTGGTAACTCTTCAATACTTTGCTTCTGAGATTCTAGATACTTTATTTACTAATACTCTTAAAATCTCAACGAGTAATTAATATAAAAATTTGTTGATGTCTTCACAATATATATACTTTATAGAGTAACTCTAAAAAATACTTTTATAAATTGTTGATTTCGATTTTGATAACCATTCCTAGCATCTATGTAAACCCTCTAAATCATATAAAAAATTCCTGTATTGTTCAGATAATTAAAAAAGTTCTCAATGGTAATATATGGATTAGGATCCCATCATAATTCTGGATTTGTCCTCATTTCGAGGATGTCCAAAACTACAGGGAGAATTCTAAAACAAAATACTATATATAAAACTTGATTAGAAGTTTTATAATCAATTAAAAGTATTTATTTATTACATGTTGTACAATTGTACAAGTTGTAATAAATTAATTAAATTAAAACTCATCATCAAACTTCTGTTTGCATTTTTGACAACTTAACAGATGGCAACCCTAGCTATATATAACATCACTAGTAATTACACCAGAATATTGTAAAACTTTGTGCCAAAACAGTCCTGCTATCAATAATTATCAAGCTGTTGATGTACTCACTCATCATTCACTCTTTATCTTGACTAAAAGATAAAATATAATCTAGGAAAATAAAATTATAGTTGTGATAAAGTGTAACATCACATGGTCATTATATTGCATGACACATATTGGTAATACTCATAGCAGAGTTGATAGGTTATATAAGTTATCAACATTTGCCATGAAATGTCTAAAGGGAAATGCATTTTTAATTAGATATGTATATATATATGTCAAGATATGATATCTATAATGATAGTGATTAATTATGATGTACCTAGGTAAACTTTGATTACCTACCTAATGATGCTACAAAGTTTCTTTATCGATTGCTAGTTTTATATAAATAAAATTTGTGTGAACTATTTATATTTTTATAGCTAAACTGACAATAAATCTACATTTACAACTTTGTTGTCGTTACAGAGTAGACAGGTAAAACTTTGGTTGTTTGTTTTAAAGTAGGTACCTATGCAAAGTTTTTTTTAATCACGAAATTGGTTGTACCAGAGATAAAGATCCCTTAGCCTCTGAAATAAAAAGTCATTAATATATATGAAACAAAACTAAGTAGGTACTCCTAGAAAAGTTTGGATTTGGAATGTAAAACTAACTACCTTGCAAAGGGCGTTTGTTCGACGTGGTAGACGTCAGTGATCGGCTCCGAGCGCATGATGCTGCGGAGCTTCTCCTCCGGCAACTCCAGCAGGCCATCGCTCGCTGTCGTGAAGTCAGCTTTGCTCAAACCTTTCAAAACACTCATTTTTAACGTGCAGACGACTGACGACCGAGTCGAAACGGAAATGATTAACTTTTAAATGTCACTAAACGATTCACAATAGTTCTTACAATCAACGTATACACTTATACATGTAAAAAAGGCATCAATTAGACCACATGAAACATTTTAATGCCTCCGGTTTCTCAAAAGGTAACAGAGTGCTCTCCCTTGTCATTGCGAGAAGCGGTTACGGTTTCATTCAAACTCTCCACTGTAAATCGACACGATTATAAAACAAACATTTGTATCACTTCATCATTAACCGTAATGAAAAGTAATAAATTATTGTTTACACACACGTTTTCGACAAAACAAAATTGACAAGCGCGGCGGGACAGCTGCGCATCGACGAGTCGACCGCACTTCGCCGTACACGTTTCTGCCGTTGAGGGAACTTGAAAAACGCAACGTACCATTCAAATTCTGAATGTCGCGTTCTAAGTTCGAAAGTTGCACGGCAAGGACGAAAAGTAAAATGTAACTTAAAAATGTTTATACTTATTACTAGATGGCGCTTTTCATAAAAATCTTGAAACAAAATGTTTTGGGATTTTTTTATGTTCGTATTTAGATAAACCTACCTTTTATATATGTTAAACATAGTTTAAAAATAATATCAATAATATGTGAATTGCTTGTTATTTGTAAATCGGTAATAATTCTAGATATTCATCTCACAGTTAATTATAATACAGCGAAATTAAGCAAAAATTTACATCCAAGTACTCTTGTTTATTTTACAATTTCCTAGATATGGTAAAAATATATTAATATATATAGTGAGCAACTATTATATTATCTACATCTATTGTACATAATACAAAGTATTGAAGTAAAGGTGTTTGGAAGTTACTCCAGATGTCACTGAAAATATTACGGTAACAGTGGTTCACAAGTTATTAAAAAGATTTAATCGTCCATAACATATATAACTAATTATCTATTTATTTATCACTATCTCTATATTGCAAGTTTATTAATCAGAGAATAACTTATAAAGAAAAGCTTAATATATATAGCACTGTGGCCAAACTTTCACACATTGTACTAGTTGGAACTGTAAAGTGACATCTACTGAGTTGTAAGGGAAATAATTTTAATCCATGTAATAGTATTACAGTATAATCGCTCCTAGATGTCGCTATTTCTTATTTATTGATATAAATTAAATAGTGCATTTGTAGGGGGGAAAGCGATTGTTGCTCACAAATTTAACATATTTTTACCATATCTAGGAAATTGTAAAATATACAAGGGTAAATAAATGTACTCTATCAACCGCGTAAATTACTCTGCTCAAAAGTAGTTAATAAAATTAAAATTTCTGTTTTTCACCGCTGCCAAATAAGGGTTTTTTTTTCTGTAAGAATACAAAATAAACGAACTTTGATATTCAGCATTTAAATACATTTAAAAGACAGACAGCACACTTGCAATACCTCCGGTATTAACATGCTGATGGGTGGCGGTAGTCACTTACCACCAGGTGACTTACATTTTCGTTTGCCCCATGGTATAAAATAAATCTTTTTTTAATTATATTTTGACGCCTTTTTAACAAGTTCACACAAATGTTTCAGTCAAAAATATCCAGGTTTATTCAAAACCATATCAAAAGCATTCTATATACGTACTTTTATTTCGCGGTATTGATGCAATTCGAAGAGTTTCAAGTGAATTCGGTTTAGCTAAAATTTTCGTAAGTAATCCAAACTGACCGCTTTCCCGGTCATTCCACACCGGACTTCACAGTATCTACTTCGAGCAATAAAAAAGTATAACAAGCTAAAAGTGACAATTAGTGATCAGTTTAGAAAGTGACGATCTAAAATAATAAATATATTTTTTCTTTCACTGCTCTGGGTTGAATGGAAGAGATCTGTTACAGAGATAAGCCCATCCTTGCTAACAAATTGTTAAACTTATCGCTGTATGTTTTTTTTAAGTGCAATAAAGAATATAGCATTAGAATTCTTATATTTCAAGTCATCATCATCATACCAGCTTAATTGTCCACTGCTGAACATAGCCCTCAGGGGGGTTCTACCAGTTTCGCCCATGATACCCTCCATGCGTTGCCATTCCTGAGGACTCAGGTGTTATTCCTCTGTACCCAGTAAATTCACGCCATATCCCACCCTTCAAACCGAAACACAGCCATGCAATGTATTTACTACTTCACGGTTGAAATACGAATGGGACAGAGGTACCCAAGCAATTGACTTTTGTACAAAGTCTCCCTCTGGTGAAAAAAGAATAGAATAAAATAAATAATTTAGAAAAAATCAACTTCTTAATGGCAATAAAATAAAACAATTATTTAATTATTTAACGGTTTATTTCCTGTTTTTTGCCCAGCAAGCGTTCAGAATTTCTGAGAATGAAGCAACGCCCTCCGCGTTGATGCTCTTGAAGAATGGCTCGTTCTGCAAGCGGGCGACCCAGTTTGTGACCCGTGGGAACCTGCAACGATGAAAACGTATACGTTCTTACTAATATTAGAAATGTGAAAGTGAGTTTGTTTGTTACCTGTTAACGCCTTAAGGGCTCATCCAATTACTATGAAATTTGGAATACATGTACTATATGGTACCAAGATGGTTTAGGCTTTTTTATTCCGGTCAGTGCACATATTCCGGTTTCAGGTACAAACTTGCAGGTAAAAGCTAGTATTAAATTAATTCATATAAAGAACATACATAAAAAAAAATACACACACACACACACATATAATATAATGGGGTTACCATTTGTAAATTTTAAAATTTTCTCTAGCCTATGCATAAAATATATTTCTGAAAATATTTATTATATAGTTCTCAATTCTATGCAATTTTATTACACATATGTAAATATATTAATATACACTAAATATTTTGTCTTGAGTGGTATCCACGTGATGGAAAAAGAAACCGAGGTAGACAAGGTGCAAGGAATCGTTACCAATGGAGAAATATGGAGGAGGCCTATGTTCTAGAACAACCTGAAAAATAAGATGTTGCTGATGTCAACATTAATTATTTATACATATTTACAATTTAAAAAAGAATCTGTAATTCAGGAATAAAGGCTATTTTTATTCTATTTTATTTATTTATTTTAAATATTTTGTCAGAAACTTTGTACAAAAGCAATCTGCATGAGCAGTAATTGTCTGTTATTATATAACATATGATTAATTTTCTTAATCTGAGGTCGTCTGGAGCCTCTAGCTGTAGACACCAGTACATTTCAGAAGTTTTAATCACAAATTGTTTACTGTGCAAAATATTCGATTATGGAATAGTCTACTAACTTCTATACAGACTATATAATGCCTACCTAGTTTTAAGGCAAAAATTAAGGACTTCTGAGCAAATTGTCATATTCGTAAGTTGTGTTTGACCAGCATACCTAAATTCTTTATACAGTATACACAGAATGTTATACATTGTTATGCCATGTCTATGTCAGTACCATGGGGTACTGCTCATGTCTATAAGCGTCTGTTACCACTTTCCATCAGATGAGCCATCAGCTTGTATGCCATTCTGAATATTATAAAAAAATACACACCTCTTGGGATCCACTTTATGTATGACCTCCATAGCGGTGGTCGTAGCACCAAGGGACAGATCAGCTAGGGTCAAGTGGTTCCCGACTAAGTAAGGTTTGTTTCCAAGATACGCCTCCACCACTCCGTACGCTTCCTCGATGTCCGCTATGTGCTTAGGTGTCGGCCCTGGGTGACCTTCGAAGATTGCTGGTAACTGCAATTTATATAAATCCTATAAATACTGCCATAAAAAACGGGGCCATTCGTTATGGCAGTTTGCCATTGGACGGAATTTGCCCGTAGTTGCCACGCTTGGCAGGCAGATTGGCAACCGCAGTTACGATTTAGAGATGCTTTAACTGGTGCCCATCCCTCGACTATTAAGAAAGAAATAATTTCTTCGAAGAATCATGGTACTCACACATATGTACATATAAATATAAATACATATATACATATGGTACCCACGTATATAAATACAGAACAAAACAAAAAAACTACACAATACAATATATAAAGTTTATACCATTTCCTGCTCAAATTAATTTACACACACGAGTACACATTTTCATGTGCAAATCAATGTTCTGCGAAGTAGATCCGTCTACAGCATAAACGAAGACTTATCTTTATAATGGGTAATAATGGAATGGTAACCCCGCCTGCGCTATCGGTATAAACTGGCGGGGCACCAGTGAGGGATGAATGTAGTCTAGTTGACCCATCGTGATGAATTTCACTAGAATTAACCACAACGTGGAGGTCGACCTGATAGGCTGTATTGCTAGCAATGGGTCAGTTAAACCCCATTACTAACAATCCCTTTCTCCCCTACAAAGACTTATTATCCTCTTAATACTTTTTTGATAGGTGAAAATGGAATGGCAACTCCGCCTGCGCTAACGGGATACGCTGGCGGAGCTCCAGTGAAGGGTGATCGATGAGAATGAAAACAGGTCAGTCAGCCCATCATGATGAATTCATCTAGAATTAACCATGATAATTTCCAGAGGGAACCGCGAGGAGGTCGACCTGGTTGGGTATATTGCTAGCAATGGGTTAGTTAGAGGCCATTATTAACAATCCTTTTCTCCCATACGAAGACTTATGATCCTCTTAATACTTAATAGACCCCCTCAGGTCGACCTTCACGCGGTTCTCCCTGGAAACCATCATGGTTAATTCTTGTCGAAGTCATCATAGTGGGCCAACTGACCTGCATTCATTCTCACCTATCATCTTCCACTGGTGCCTCGTCGGTGTATACTGACAGCGCGAGCGGGGTTACCATTTTATTTTCATTTATTAAAAAAAAAAATACTTACAACAACCACTTTTAGCCTGACGAAAAACACGCCCGTCTCAAAGAACACGCACTGGTCGATTAGGGCCCTGGTTCTTATGTCGCTCGGATATAGAACCTCGCGTTTGTCGCCGCCATACTTCTCCAGCAGATACTTCATGATGGTATGACTAAAAGCAGATGAGAACTTTTTTTGTTAATTATTTAGTATCTTCATGATCACTCGCCATCGACAGGGAATTAATGCTCACACGCTTGAACAGGTCAGGAACAGGTCGCATACAGCGCGGATTCAAAGGAATTTTCTCCCACGAACGCTCAGGCTTCCTAGAGACTACAGTATGGGGTTCTTCAAAAAGGATATATTAAGGTTTCTTCAATGTCGCCAACGAGCAGGTGACACCTCTAGTGTCGCAGGTGCCCACAGGCTACAGTATAGGACTTTGTGCAAAAGTCGTTTGCTTGGACACTCCTGTCCCATTCGTGTTTCTACCGTGAAGCAGTTGTGTTTGCATGACTGTGTTTCGGTTTGAAGGGTGGAATATGGCAGTAAATTTATAGGGTTCAGAGACATAACACCTGAGTCCTCAGAAATGGCAACGTATGGGGGTATCATAGGCGAAACTACTCTACTCTGTTATGTCTATGGTACTGCTCATGTCTATAAGCGACGGCTACCACTTTCCATCAGGTGGGCCGTCAGCTTGTTTGCCATTCTAAGTTACATAAAAAAAGTATGTAAAAGTAATAATCTGATCTATGTGTTAATTAAAAAAAATAAAAATTCTTATAACCTTTCCGATATCACGAAATCACCATCTTGCAATGTTGGGATTGTGCCCATGGGATTTAACTGAAAAAAAAATTACATATATTAAGTTTGCACCAAAAAAATAATTGAAGTATTGTCATTATTTATATCGGCTTTACTCACGTTTTCTTTTTTACTGCTACTCGTGACATAGGCGTGAACCATGCTCATGAATAAGGGCTCCTATTCAGCTTAACATTAGTCGAGCATTCTCCAATTTAAAAAGTGAGTAAAGCCGCTATAAGTATTTACAATATAGTATGACTACTAGTAAAGTATTGTATTATCTGTGGTATGACTTGTTATTATATTTATTATACAATAAATCACTTGCTCTTTTCAGGCGGTGCTATAATATTTTATAAACGAAGTTGTAATAGCTTATAATAACTTATATATGCAAAAAGTAGAAGTAAAAAAATTACCAAAATCCGACCGTAAAATTATATTCGCATTTACAAAAACCCATCAAGCTGTTTAGGCCACTAATTGCTCTAAATTTTTAAATTAATTTATTTTAACATTTATATATATATAAGTAGGTAGGTATTATATGTATTTATAATGTATGTATCTATGTAATATTTTATTATATATTTTAATATTTTATTTAACTGTATATTTGTTTATGTATTAACAGTTGTAGCACTTGAGCTGCCCGCTAACGAAATGCTTTCTTACTGTACTGGGTTGACTGGAAGAGATCTCTGTCAGAGATAAGTCCACCCTTCCTCACAACATTTATAAATACATTAATGAATAAAAATTTTTCTTTCAAACAATACCTTCAAAAACGCCTCCGATTTGTGTTCCAATTTCAAAAAGTCGATCTCTTTTATATCTAGCTCCAAACCGATGATGTCTGCTAGCATCATGACGGCGCGAGCCGGCGGGCTCCCTGGCAAGAAGTATAGCAGCGGTCGGGGCATCGCTGAAACTGGGTTTAATTTGCCATCATCAGAGACCATGTGAAAAGGAACTTACATAATATGTATTAAGATGGATTAAGAGAGAATATCGACTGTCAAAATATCTCCCATAATAGACAGCGATCAGTTGGCTAAGGGGGGAGGCATTGTTAGTAATTAGATGGCTTAATAATTATAAATTAATATAATTTAATCGCAGCAATTTTTTACCTTCTCGTCGTCCATTCTAAAGCTCATCGTAGTGAAATCATCACGATGGGCTAACTAACCTACTTTCATTCTGAGATATCATCCCTTCTTCTCGACTTCCCCGGGACAAGGGGATTACCATAGCAGATTTCTCCGGATTAAAATAAGGGACATCATGCCTTTATATCCAGTAATGACATTGCTATATCGGATATAGATTGTCTACGATAACGAGGCACGGCTCTACCAAATCCAAAGAATTAAAAATGTGTAAGTATGTAAAATTATTTAGGTTGCGTCCAAGGAATATAATACTCCTCTAGCCGGACCGGTACTGAAAATGTTTCTTTAGAAATACAAATAGTCGATTACGTCTGAATATGGTCACACACATGGAATTAAAAAGTTGGAGGTGCGTGTCATGTTAACGTACAAGACAATCGACATCGTAGTATTTTTTTGATGGGTGAAAATGGTATGGTAACCCCGCCTGCGCTAACGGGGTACGCTGGCGGAGCACCAGTGAAGGGTGATAAATGAGAATGAAAACAGGCCAGTTAGCCCATCATGATGAATTCATCAGGAATCAACCATGATAGTTTCCAGGGAAAACCGCGAGGAGGTCGACTGGTTGGGTATATTGCTAGCAATGGGATTCTCAGTCTCCATTACTAACAATCTCTTTCCCCCCACCATCGTAGTAGTTAACCAATTGCAATCATGAGAAATTAGATCCTGTTCTCAATACAATATCATCATCTCGGCCGTTATCTGTCCACAGTTGAACATAGACCTCTCCCGTAGACTGCCATAAGGAAATACCCTGATTCACTTGCATCCACAGACTCGCTACAATGTATTCGGGGTCGTCACTCCATCTAATAGGAAGTCGTTCTACACTGCGTTTTTCCCCTTTCGGTTGTTGGTTCTTCAAGTAATGTGACCAGTCTATTGCCACTTTAACTTGCTTATATATACATACATACATACATATACTTTTATCTTTGTAAAAACATGTCCGAAACATACTTATCTGTGTCTGAATTACTGTACCAACGCAGATAGGTATAATCAGAAAAATAAATTACTATTTCATGTTTGCAAGCAGTTGTCTCGTGATTAAGCAGTATGTTTAAATTCGCATCGATAACAACGTGCCACCAACAGACGTTCAGGCATGACACATCAGATTTTGTCAATAACAACTTGTACAAATATATTTGGTCTCGAAACATTTAAATATTGAATTTAAAATATAACTATCAGTAGGTATGTACAGGCACCTATTTTAATTGAAGAGCCAAATTAACATTTTATATCATTTATTTTTTTATATAATTTCTAGCCGTGTAGGTCCCGGTATAGAATAGGCCATCCAATGCTTTGCCGCGGTTGTCGTAAGAGGCAACTACGAGAGCTTATGTTAGTATGCTACAAAATGTATTAGGAAATATGTTCACTGTTACATCGTTCATAAAACCTCAGGCACCTCTGGATAATGTTTTGAACTCATGTAAAGTGTTGTGCAGGGACTTTACTATGTCAGACTTTGTTTTGATATTGGGTGGTTCAAATGACCGCAATCCAACTAAATTGCATGCTCATTTATATTATTACTTAAGTCAATTAAACGACACTAATGTACTTCTGTGTAATGTACCAAACAGTAGATACCTGAATGTTTCCAAACTGAATAACATGTTTAAATCATTATGTTCACATTTTAACAATGCTCATTATATGCACATATGTGCAAATAAGGACACAAACTATTCGTTTAATTTTTATAGTCATACATGTTTTATAGACATATAATAGTCATATTGATCATAATGAATTGGCAGATGGGCACGCAGCCATTTTTTGTGATCTGTTACTGGAAATAAGTGGGCATTCTCTTAGTCAAAATTTATTTATTACAAAAAATCAAAGATTGTTTTCCTCAAATAACAAACAAAAATTTAAAGATACAATTGGAACGATAAATTGGACAGACATGAATATTAATAATTTCATCAATCAATTTAATGACATATTTAAACGCTGCTTTAAGAAAACTCGGAAGAGAATTAAAATAATAAAAACTTGTAATATTAAATGGATATCAAAGGGAATTAAGGTATCTAGTTTAATGAAGCGATTCTTAAACAATAATAATAAGGTTAGCATTGATCAAAGTATTATAGATTATCGAGAAAAATACCTAAGAATATATAACAAAATCATAAGAAACTCTAAAAGACGTTATGTACAAAATGAAATAGCAGAAGCGAAAGATAATAAAAGTATTTGGAATGTAGTAAACAAACATAGAAATTAAATAAAAAAAAACCAATACACCCATGATAAAATACAGTTTAAAGTTGACACTGCAATTATTGACGATCCACAGGAGATTTTAAAAATATTATCGTCGAACTTTGAACGCAAGTCTCATATTTTACCAGAAGACAGATTAAAAGCTGAAATTTTTTTATATGATAATGTAAAAATAGTACATCCCCAGTTATATTGGCAACTAATCACATCCATGGAAATCAAAAAAGTTATAAAAAGCATGAAAACTAAAAGATCCTGCGGATACGATGACGTACCAATATCCATTATTAAAGAAAACTTAGAATTTTTGGCAGAACCACTTGTTCATCTTTACAATATATGTTTGGAGGAAGGTATTTTTCCGGAACAGTTGAAAATAGCCCGTGTGATACCAATTTATAAAAAGAAATCCAAGTTTGACCCTAAAAACTACCGACCAATCTTATTATTACCAACACATTCTAAAATATTTGAAACATTAATTAATTCTAGAATTCTTAAGCATATAGCTGAAAATAAAATACTTAATAAAAGACAGTTTGGATATCAGAATGGCGTAGGTACGGAGGATGCGATGGAAACTCTTATAAATGATGTTTTAAATAAATTGAATGACAGAAAAAAGGTTGCAGGGCTTTTTTTAGACTTGAGTTCAGCTTTTGATACAGTTGACCACGACATTCTCTTAAGTAAACATGAGTATTATGGCATATATGGACAGGCAATTGATATAATAAAATCTTATTTTAATAACCGTAGACAATATATTGAAATAAAAAATATAGAAAATAATTATGAAACCTCACATACATCAAAATTGACGGTCATTAAGAGGGGCGTACCACAAGCCTCAATATTGGGTCCAATATTCTTCATTTTGTTTATCGACGACCTAATAGACTATATCTATAATTCAATAAACAATGTTGAATTGGTTATATTCGCAGGTGACACAAATGCCATAGTTTCCGCTGTTTGACATACAAGAACTAACGATAAAAATTAACAAATTAGTAGGGCTTCTTGATGATTGGTTTTCTGCTAATGGATTAAAAACTAAACGTGGAAAAGACGTGCGCCATACTATTTAAGTCTACTACAAAACATAACGATACCTTGGACGTTCTCCTAAATGATGAAAGAATTGCAATAATAAAAGACGTAAAATATCTAGGCGTACAGATTGACTCAGCATTGAACTGGAAAAGTGAATTGCACTCCATCAGCAATAGTGTTAGTTCATCGTGCTATGCTTTAAGGAGTTTAAAGGACGTGCTAACTACAGATTAACTTAAATCAGTATATTACTCGTTAGTAGAATCAAAGTTTAGATATAGTATTCAATTATGGGGAAACAGCTACAATTATAATATAGAAAGGGCTTTCAGACTACAAAAAAAAAGGCAATAAGAATAATCGCTCGTATTCCGCAGTGGGAGTCTTGCAGGGACTTTTTTAAAAAGTATCGCATACTCACAGTGCCCAGTCTAAATATATTGATTGTCGTAGTAAATTTTGTTAAAAATCTACCCAGATGTGAAACAACACAAAACAAGTTCTAGACGTAAAGACATTATGAGTGACATACAACCAAGATTGAACGTAGTTATACATGGAGCGCAGTTTCAGGGAAGGAAGTTGTATAACAGACTACCAATTGCTCTGAAGACTATCCAAAATTGGAGAATATTAAAAATCAAACTCCATGCCCTTTTGTTGGAAAAATGTATTTATAAAATAATTGAATTTTAGAAATATAATAACTGTGAGTTATGTATAGTTACTTGTTTTTTCATTTAAATTGTTATTATTATTAATTCATTATTTGTATGTGACATTGTTTATATGTAAAAATTGCTGCATGTTTGTGATTTTGCAGCTTTACAGTATAAAAATCCTATAATATTCGACACAATGTAATATTGTTACAGAATAAATTGAATTGAAATTGAAATTGAAAATATGGTGAAGGTATGGGCAGTAGCGTCCCTGTTAAAATTTTACCAAAGCCTAACTGTGGTTGCCAATCCGCCTGCCAAGCGTGGCAATTACTGGCAAGCTCCTAATGCCAAAATCCTATAACTCAGGACCGTTCCGTATGACAGTGTTTGGAGGAGGCCTGTGTTCAGCAGTGGACAGTTAACATTTAATATGAATACTACAAAAAAAAAAAAAAATACAATAAAAACGTAATAACTTCTAATCATGAAGAATAAATAATTACATTTATATAATTAAACTTGTCACGGCAATTATATCTATTTATATTCAAGGTGACATTGACAGTCTTAGGCTTTGTTCACATCGGTAACATTATATTGCACATCTAGAATATTCTAGAAGACTATAAATAACAAATAATATTATAAAAACTCACCTACAACTCAAGGACTCGGTAACACGAGCAATAATGTCTGCTCGAACAGACACTAGCACTGAATAAGCGAAAAACCAATTGTGGCGAATATAGCTGTCACTTATCTGCCTATATATACCTACATACACACTTATCGTATAAGCGACTTGTATCGACACGCATGATGATACGCGGTGCTTCGATATGGCATTGATAAATAGAAAACTCAAGATGTACCATCAGAAATTAGAAACTATTGAAAGTAGAGCGCATTCTACCAAAATATATTCTTTTCGGGTTTCTTATCCAATATGTTTTTTTTTTATGGATGATAATGGAATGATGACCCCGCCTATGCTATCGGTATACATTGGCGGGGCACCAGTGAGAAATGACTGGTGAAGATGAAAAGGCAGGTCAGTTAGCCCATCGTGACGAATTCAACGATAAATTAGACACGATGGTTTTCAGGGAAAAACCGCGTGGAGGTCGATCTAATAGAGTATATTGATAGCAATGGGAACTAACCTCTCAATTACTAACAATCCCTTCCCCCCTTATCCAATATGTTGAAATCCCATTATAAATTCGAGAATTTATAATGATCAATGGGTTTTTGTTACTCTTTCACGCGAAAACTACAGAACAGATTTGAATGACATTTGGTACCTGGATAGGTTATATTCTAACTTACCACATGGGACACTTTATATACTAATTTATGTGGGCGATGCCGTGGGATATAGATAGTATTATCATAAATGTTGTAAAACTATATAATGCCACAAGCAGTTTATGAAATTTTTAGCAAATACTCCATTCATATCTTAATTATTTTTATTTTATTTCAGTGTAAAAAATATGTATGGGAATGTTAAAATTGTTATTTTTTTTCGTATATCGATGGTTGAACAAGAGATGGAGGTTTGCATAACTAGCTCCAATTTTGGAAATATACATTTTCAAAATTTGGACAGGTCTAACTACACGCCAAGTCTGCTACTGTTAGGCATAGAAAACCAAATGCCAAAGGCAGAGGGGAAAAGGATTGTTAGTAAACCAGACCTCCAATGCTAGCAATGTTTCTTAGCAGGCAGAACCTCCACACAGTTCTCCCTGGAAAACGTAGTTAATTCTCATAGAATTCTTCATGATTAGTTAACTGACCTTTTTTCATCCTTACCTATCATCTATCATTGGTACCTAGCTAGCATATACATATAGCAGGCAGGGTTACCATTTCATTCGCCACCTACCATTCCTATCTTTTTCCTATCGCTCCTAACTGATGCTCTGCCAATATAGACTTTGGAGTCTATATTGACACAGTCAATATTTTGTTTCCACACCTTAAAGGTTTTTTTATTCAACTTAGAATGGCAAACAAGCTAACAGTCCACCTGATAGAAAGTGGTAACCGTCGCCTATAGACATGAGCAGCACCATGGGCATAACAGAGTATACTGTTTCGCCCATGATACCCCCATGCGTTGCCATTAATGAAGACTCAGGTGTTATTCCTCTGTACCCTGTAAATTCATTGTCATATACCACCCTTCAAACCGAAACACAGCCATGCAAACACAACTGCTTTACGGTTGAAACACTTTAAAGGTCTAAGATCTTATTCCTAATTACTACTATAATTTAAATTACACATTATTAACATTGTCAATAAATAAATAAAGACCTCTAACTGCAGTTACCAGAGGGAGACTTTGTACAAAAGTCGATTGCTTGGGTACCTCTGTCCCATTCGTGTTTCTACCGTGAAGCAGTTGTGTTTGCATGGCTGTGTTTCGGTTTGAAGGGTGGGATATGACGTGAATTTACAGGGTACAGAGGAATAACATCCGAGTCCTCAGGAATGGCAACGCATGGGGGTATTCTAAGCTGTATAAGAAAAAAATATCTTGTATAAATACCATGAAGATCCATCCAAGATTATGTAAAGTAGGAAGATTAACAGAACCTCATTCAAAATACATCCCTCTGTCCTGTTATCCAGAAGAAACCTTATGCATATAACTGACAGAATATAACCAGCGTCAGTAGCAACTTCACAGAACTAATAAGCAATATAGCCTTATTGCCACTTTGCATTGCTAATATGCAGTGAATGATAGCAGAATCAATATGATTGACAAAAAAAAAAAACATTAATTGTTTTTAAAAATATACAATTTACTTAATACAGTAAATAAACGTTAATTTATCTAATATATCATTAAATGTACCTTAAACATCTCAACTTATGATAAACAATGTTTTCACACTCAGCGTTCACCAGAGTTTAATAACTGTCCACTATAACAGCATATTTCTGGTTTACGTAATATTAGTGACTGGCAGATATTCATTAGCTATTGCAATAATGCTTTGAACTTCTTCATCTGTCAGACGTTCTTCACTTTCCTGGACTATCTGTAATATTAATTAAATAGTCATACTAATATAATAAAATTGTAACTAGACCATGTCTGCATATGGAAGATATTTAAGAAAAAATTATTAATTACATAAGGGGTCTCAAGCACAATTGAAGCAAAAATCTTAAAACAATATTTTTTAGATAATAATAATAATAAAGATTTATTGCACATAAAAATATACAGTCATAGGTTTACAGAAATTTCAAAGTGAATTATATGTGTATAAAGAGTAGCATTATGCCCAGCATATTAGTGTCTAAACTAGGCCTAGCCTGTATCTTAGACACTAATGCCTTCTATTAGATACATATTTTCGTGCAGTTTCGCTATTTTAAAATAGTACAAGATTCAGTAAACAACATGTTTTATATTAGTTTGTATAGATATTTATTTGTCTGTATATTAGTATCACACAATAATTACTGCACTAAATTGGATATAGTGATATGATTTGACAGTAATATTCCTAAAAGACTAACTTAAAAATTAGCATATGTTTTATTTTGATACACCACCTAAAAATGATATTTTTCTATTCCTAAAATTCATGAATAAAGTAGCAGGCAAAAAGAATAATATAGATATAAAAAAAAATTGGCAGTGAAATTAGAGGATATAGAGGCATGTATAGTCCTCAGAAATGTCAAGGCACGATTGCTATAATATTGTGTTGACAAAGAGACTGTATTTGTAAGCAATGGTGATTACTTTCCATCAGGTGGACTGTCAGCTTGTTTCCCATAGTATTATGTAAAAATTGAAATCAAGAAATTACCAGCTGTATCTCTAGCTCTGTTCTTGGTGGAGTGTTTACCATCATCAGTTTTTCTGTCTTTGTCAGTTTGAACCTCTTCATTGCTTCTAGAAACTTATGTATGGATTGTGCACTTTGATTCTTGCAATCTGAATCTTGTAAATAATGTATAGTCTGAAACATTTGGTTAAACATGTCTTTTATATTATTTTAACATAAACAATATATATTATTTTAATAATTATAATTTTATATCATGATTCAATCAACAGAGAGTCTCGTCTTTTAGTAGATGACTGGGCAATCTTCAAAAGATCAGTTTGAAGTTATCAGAGACTATGATGTGAACTTAATTCATAAAATAATACTCCTGTCTGGTTCATACCAGTCATTAATCTGAGTAACACTTATGACTAACAATAATAATAATTTATATAGGGCCTATGAACATAGATCAAAGAATTTATGATACCAAATTTTAATTTTATGTATAGATTGGAGTATGATATTTCAGAATTGACTTTGTAGTAATAAGTGTATGTATTTCTATTATAACCCCTAAATTGATAAATCTATTTAAATATATCATTTCATCAACAAATCACTTTTTTATAATAAAAAATATACAGAAATAGGTCTGGCTCTGTGTTGCATTCCATAAATATATGATCACTGTATTTTGATTTTAAATTTGTAACTTGTATTACCTCATATGTGACAGTGGCAAGAGAACTCTCCCGTTTGTGTTTCTTCTGTGTGTTGTCTTTCAACTGTTGTAGAATTTGCATCACCTCATAATTACATAGAAATGCTGCATTTGCTTTAATCCTGAACATTGAATAAAATGTTATATTTTTCACATAATAATATTTATTTTAAATATATTTTAACACTAATTGGTTGCACCGACAAGAGGAAACTCTTAAATGATAAAAAAACACTTATTACAGGCATACAACAAAAATCCTTTTCTAACCAATACTTTTTTATTTTATTTATTCATAAACAATAATTTGCATCTAAATGTAGGTACAATAAAATATATACAGTATATGAAAAATAAATTAAATAATGTACAAAAATAAAAATTACAGACAATTTAGAGTAATATTTTAACACAAACAACATATATATTTAAATTTATGATAGTAAGAATTCGTCAATTGAGTACAGACACCTCTCTAGCAATAATGACTTCAATTGTCTTAAAGACATTTAAATCATTCAGTAACTTTAATTCTTTAGGTAGCTTATTAAACAACACCACCACTTGCCAGTAATATACCCTGTCAGGGTTTTTAAATGAGTGATAATAGAATGGTAACCCCAACTGCACTATCAATATAGACTAGAGTGGCATCAGTGAAAGATAATAGGGATGAAAGCAAGTTATTTGATCCTTTATAATGAATTCAACAAGAATTAACCACTATGGTTTCCAGGAGAAACCATGTGGAGATCAGACTGATTAGGTATATTGCTAACAATGGGGCTTTTAATTCTCCATTACTAACAATAATTTTCTCCCACCTCATCAGTAATGGGATCTGATTTCCCTATAACTAGCAATACACCCCATTAGATAGACTTCTACATGGTTCCCCCTGGAAACTATCATGATTAATTCTAGTGGAATTAATCATGATTGATTAATTGACCTGCTGTTTTGTTCTCACTTATCATCCCTCACTGGTGCTCCGCCAGTGTATACCAATAACGCAGGCGGGATTATCATTCCATTATCACGTATTAAAAAAAAATTCTGGAGAGAAAATTCGGGTCAACTTGGCTATTCGCGATAATGCCAGATCGATCTAGATGCGATCTCCTATGGAAACTATTATAATTACTGGACTGACATGCTCTTATCCTTACCTATTATTCCTCAATGGTGCACCTAGCTTATATCAATCTAATTAAAAGTTTATTCACCTTTCCTATACCATCATTTTTCATAGGTACCGTATAAACATAGTGTATACTGGAAATAGAGTAAGATATTCAATATTAAATACTATGAACTAAATAATGTAAAAAGACACAAAATAGGCGACTTACGTTTCCATGATTTGAAATAATACATCTACAATGGAATTTTTATTACTATTACGGCATTTTACCACTTCAATTGAGTATCTTAATTTTTATAAAATCAACCTAAATAATAAAATAGGTTAGAAAGAAGGTTTAAATCAAAGAATACGATTAAGGGATTTAAATGAATGATGAAAGAAAATATTTAATTTGTAATTGGCATGAATTGTCACAGTCAATATGATGTTTCGCATTAGCTTTGACAATTCAGCCAGTAAATAAAATAGTCGAATGTCTCTATGGTTCTTTAGTAAAATAGTATATTTATATATAGCTACAATCTCAAAAATAAAAATTGGTTATGGTTCCGTATTCGACTTGAATAAATATGTTTATTTTTCCATTTATAAAAAAGTAATACAACTAGTCTGAATATATTTCCCAAAAGCAACATTATTCCTAGCCCTGGAACAGGGTACAACGAGATTGTCTTGGTTTTGATTGGTCACCATTTTCTCTGCACGTGAATTATACTTGAGTTTTATCTTTAATAAATAATAATTCTTAAATTTTCAAAAAATAATTTTTAGTACAGATATCAACCTACATCCGTACCATTTAGCAGTATAAAAATTTTATTAATAGATTGACAATCTAAGAGAGAAAAAAAAACATAACCTTAGATCAGTGTTTTTTAATCTTTTTCATGATGCGACCCCCTTATTATATAAAAATATATTGTCATCCCCTTAGTATGTAAAAATATCTTGCGATCACCTACCCTTTGGAATTCCCCCACGGTTTCGAATGTGTATAAATTTTATTATAATACAATTAGATTTTATTTTAGAATTTTTAGATTTTTTTCTCTGTTTGTTCCGGTATCACCCAATACTTATTATATTTTATTATAAAGCAAACATTTGATTTGTCTTTTACATTTTAACTAAAATAATTATCTGAAATGATTTTCAGTAGACTTGCAAGGAAATTAACGAACCAAGTATATTTTTCAATATGGAAAACCTTATTTATCCGTAAATACACCAATAGATACCTATTATAGTCACTTTATTTTTACTACTACCAAAAAATAAAATGTTTGCAACCTACGTTTGAGTAGATGGAAGTGGTATTAATTTACGTTCAGAGGACCGAGTGTTGAATAAGGTCCATATGATTTATCAATGGTTCCAAAGTGGTCATTCGATGGAAGTTCCACTGGTCAAGCTAAAACTAATAATTCAGACATTTTGGTTATACCTTCCGCAATATATAAGGATCCTTTTCGCAAAAGTCCAAATGTCATAATTCTTTGTGAAACATACTATGCTAATGGTTCTCCTACTCTTACAAATCATAGAGCTCATTCTGTAAAAATATTAAGTAAAATCTCAGATCAAAGTCCATGGTTTGGTATAGAACAAGAATATACTTTGTTTGATTCTGATTTGTGGCCTCTTGGTTAGCCAAAATTAAGAGGCTATCCAAATTTAAAGGCAAAGCACTCATATTGTAGTAACGGAAAACATGTTGCCGGTAGAGAAATTGTTGAGTGTCTTGCAAAGGCTTGTGTCTATTTGGGTTTGGATTATGGAGGATCTAATGCTGAAGTTATGAAGGAATCATGGGAATACCAAGTAGGTACTACATCTGGTATCAAAGCTGCTGACGATCTTTGGATTGAACGCTACTTTCTTAACAGAAAAGCTGAAAATTTCGGAGTAATTATTAGTTATCATCCTAATGCCTAAGGGCAAAGACCAACTTGGAATTGGTTGTCATCATAATTTTAGTGTTAACAAAATGTGTTGCAATAATGGAATAAAAGAAATTGAAAGAGTATGTAAAATTCTTTGTGACCGACATGAAAAATTCATGAAAAATTACGGTCTTGGTGATGGAGTCGAGAATAGAAAAAGATTAACAAAAAAATTTGAAACAGCTTCTTTCGATGCCTGCAGATATGCTGTGGCTAATCGCGATACCTCAGTACGTCTTCAACGAAGTTTTGCATCTAAAGAGAAAGGTTTTATCGAGGACCGTCGTTCAGCAGGTGATTTTGATTCATATAGTTTGTGCCCTTCTTGAAGAAACTTGTGTCTAAAACTATAAACCTTATTATTTAGTAGTACTATTGCTCATGTTGCGATATATTTATATTTTTTTTTATAATTATTTCTTCATGTTCTATATTTATTTTTATATTTTATTTTTTCTATATTTAGGGAGGATTTTATAAACATTACAATTACAAAAAGTTTATTATCTAAAATTGTGGTTTAAACCTTTAGGATGGAAGTTAGCCCTTACAGTTACATAGTCTATTTTCTTTTGCAATAAAAGTTCTTATCTTTATAGCGCAATCAATGTTATCTGTTTACTGTAAATGACATAATTGTAAAATATTTTTAAAAGAATAAAAAAATGTCACGATTGTCATATGTTTAAAATTTTACAAGTGTCTACCTATTTCATATTTTTTAAACCTAAATAAGAGTTTATTGAAAATGCATAAAATTTTAAAGTATGCATTTAAATTACAAAAAAATAAAAGTATCTATTTATTTACTCCTAAAAGAAGTTTAATGAAACACAATATTAATCACATATTGAACAAAAAAGTTATGGATAGGTATATGCGACTCCCATTTCCTTGTAATAAAGTATTGGCTACCTATATATGGATTGATGGCTCAGGTATTAACATGCGATGCAAAGATAGAATATTGACTTGCGTGCCTTATGCACCGGATGCTGCACCGACTTGGGCATTCGATGGTAGCTCGACAGGGCAAGCAACTACTGATAATTCTGACACTAAATTACAGCCAGCAGCAATATACAGGGATCCTTTTCGAACAGAACCACATGTTCTTGTATTATGTGACGTATACATAGGGGATGGAGGACAACCTGCAAGTACAAATCACAGAAAATATTGTAATGATTTATGTGAATTTCATAAAGAGCAAGAACCTTGGTTTGGTCTCGAGCAAGAATATACAATGTTAGATGTTGATGGCTGGGGACTTGGTTGGCCTAAAGGCGGAGGATTTCCTGCAGTCAAATATCAATACTCGTACTGTGGAGTTGGAGCCAAATACATAGCAGGAAGAGATGTGAGTGAATCTCATGCTAGAGCTTGTCTTTATGCCGGACTGGATTTTGAGGGAACTAATGCAGAAGTTATGTATGGATGCTGGGAATGGCAGATTGGTACTTCTGTAGGTATTAAAGCTCCAGATGATTTATGGATGTCTCGATATATCATGTCACGAGTAGGTGAAGATTATGGCGTTGATATTACTTACCATCCGAAGCCATTTGGAACTTTACATCCCGGTGTAGGTATGCATCATAACTTTAGTACAAAGCGGATGCGTTCCGATGGTGGTTATAAATTTATTGAAGAATGCATTAAAAAACTTGAAAAAAATCACATGAAGCACATGAAAGTTTATGGTAATGACGAAGCCACTAATAGAATGCGTCTCTCAGGAAAATTTGAAACAGCACCTTTTGAAAAATTTTCATGGGGCATTGCTAATAGAAAAGCGTCTATTCGTCTACCGAGAAACATAAAAGAGAAAGGGAAAGGTTTCATCGAAGATCGGAGACCCGGAGGTGATTGCGATCCATATCTTGTTTGTGGATTAATAATGGAGACTTGTTTAGGCGGTCCAGGTACTGGAGGAGGCTCAGTCTGTACACCAAAACTAAACTCATGTAAGAAATAATTTTTTTTTTGTGTTTAATTTGATAATTTGTTGTTAACTATTGATTCTATACAGAAACCAAAAAAATATTTTAATGTTCTCTTAAATATTTTTTAAATGATTAGGTAATGTGCATGCATGTATAAATGGTTACCTATTTCTAAAATTAACGCGTATAGAGTTGTAGTCGAAAACCAGTTATAAATATGTTCAAAACAAGTTAAGACTTGTAAAAAGTAAAATTCTAAATTTATATATAATTAGATATAAATAAAAAATTAGCAAGATAAATAAAGAAATTTACTTCTATATTTATCTTGCTAATCTTGTTTTATTTTATTAATCTTGTTTGCTTATCTTTGTTTACAATAAAATTAAAGGCAATATATAATTAAATTTAAGAATCAATCAAATAAATATAATTTAATTTAAGAATCAATCAATAGATGGAGATTATAACATGATCACTAAATTGGTACCGGATTTGCATCTTTATTATTTGTTTGTTTCTTATTATTTGGCGCCTTAGTGACTCAACCAATCGAGGATTTGTTTTTATACACGTACTTATTATTTGCGATTGAGGAGAACAGAATAGACTAGTTGGAATCAAAGATTCATATAGTATATTGTTAGTTGTATTTATGAAGTTAACGTTAGCAATGCATTAGAAAAAGATAAATATATAATAACATCCTCTCCGTCTTTTTGAATTATACACGATCGGTCACAGTTTGTATAATTGTACCCAGCCAAAAGCGGAACTTTTTGCGTTAATAAAATCGAAATATAGTTTTTGTCATAGTAATTTTATTTATTAGCGAATAATTGGTGAATCAAAATTTTAAATTACACTATTGAAAGTGTTTTCGATAAGATGTGTGACTTTCAGCAGTTCATAGAATTGAATAAGTGTAAAATATTGTAAATTAGCTGTATCCCACGGTTTTGCCCTCGTGAATTAATATACAAAGTAACCAGTGTTCTACTGCGTTCTATATTCATATTTTATTTAAATCTATTCAGTAGTTTTTGGTTGAAGAGTAACAAATATCCTTCTACATATCCACACATGCTTTCGCATTTAAAATAGTAGTAAGATTAGGTAAACTGAGATGTTATATCATAATTTAGGCACTATTAGGGATATTTATATAATTTTGTGTGAAATTGCGTACAACTTCTCACTATTTATGGCTTCGTACACGGTCAAATTGTAAAAATATATACTCCTATTTCAGATTTAAAATTTTAGAAGGCGAAGTAAAAGAATAAATTCTCTGTATGTAAATCTGTATATTAGAAAAAAAATATATATTATGTACAATGGATTAACTTAATATCATAAAGTTTATTATGAAATAAATAAGTCGATTCTTGAAGTCGGTCGACTATAATTATATCTCGATTTAAACTTTTGCCACCAACCATAGACATTTTTTAAAAAAAAATATGAGATGTCCGCCATTTTAAGTCTTTACTCTATTCCTTTCGTCATATGGAGTGTTTCGCGTTTGTCCGCCATATTAAATGAAATCAATAAAACAAGACAAAATGTCGCCTTACTAAAGTGCGTTAAAGTATCCATTAACATCCAGTTTTTGTGTGATTAAATCATCAATTAAAGTACAATGGAGAATTCCTACGGTGTGGGGGTTGATAACAGATACGCTCTTTTTTTGGACGATGAGTCCGATCCTCTTGATGCCTTAAAAGCCCGAGAGCAAGCCAAGGAGCTTAAAAAGAAAACCAAAGAAGCAGAAAAGGAGAATAAGGGTAAGCCTGAAAGCAAACCCAAAGGCGGTACTACCGGTGCCCGAAAAGGAATCAAAGAAACACAAAACGTTAAATCGCAGGAGACCAAGAATGGCGATCATCAGAAAAGTAAGGGACCTTCGCGACCGAATGATCGTAATTCGGAACGCCCGCCTCCACGGCGTCGCGAAGATCGACCGCAGAATGGTACGGTTGATAACAAGGAAGGAGCGCCTAGACCCCCAAGGCGTGAATTTAGCGACCGCAGGCCTAATTTTGAGCGGCGCAACTTTGCGGACAATCCGGAGGGGGCTGAACGCCGTGGCCAGAGACCTCCACGTGAGCCGCGTGATCGTGACGGACAGCGCGGGCCGCGTCCAGGGTACGACAACCGTGGCAAGCGTGAATTTGACAGGCGGTCTGGCTCCGATAAAACTGGTGTCAAACCGGTGGACAAGCGTGAGGGTGGCGGCCCACATAACTGGGGCACGTTCAAGGACGAAATAGAGGACTTGAATAAAACCGGCTCTGAGGGCGAGGTCGTCGAGGAGGCCAAGGTTGGCGAGGCTGCTGCCGCCGGCGACGGGCAGCAACCGGAGGCAGAGCGTGCCGCACCGGCCGAGGAAGAGCCGCGTGAGCTCACCCTGGACGAGTACAAGGCACTGCGCAGTGCTCAGCGCACTGCTCCACAGTATAACTTGCGCAAGGCCGGCGAGGGTGAGGACCTCAGCCAGTGGAAAAATTTGGTGATGCTCGAGAAGAAGAAGGAGGGTGGTGAGGATGACGACACCGATGAGGAGTATGACATGGCAGATTATCCGCAGCGTGTTGGTCGCCAGAAGCGCGTGCTCGGTATCGAGTTCACGTTCAACGACACGGCGCGACGTGGTGGTCCGGGACCTAGAGGCCGGGGCCGTGGACGCGGCCGGGGAGGCCGGGCCCCGCCGCGGGAGGACGCGCCGCCCGAGGAGCGCCCGCAGCCGCGCCAGCAGGCTGCGCCTCCTAAAGTTGACGACAGCAAGGATTTCCCCTCTCTCGGATAAACTCGCAGTGAGCATAAGCTCATTTTCTTTTCGTCAATACGATAGAAATACAAATAACATATTGTATGTACCGTTATTTTTGAAGTAAATATACAAAATATTTACACAAGTGTGTATTATATTACATTGAGTTTGTCAGTTTTGGCGTTGACTGTCTCGAATCAGTTGAATGATATAGTTTGCTTAGAATATCGTGACGAGAAAGTCGGCTCATTATACTCATTTATCCGCAGGATATAGTAGAGGGGGAGGATAATATTAAGTTTTAATTTTGAATACACAGCTACAAATAACACATATGACTATCATAATAGTAGCTTTTCTCTTGTTGTAATCGCATCAGCTTATAATTTAACTGCGAAAAGTTGTATGAATAAGATTTTAAACTTGCAGACTGTGACTTACTATAATGAATTAACTCCGTCACAAGTTAGTGTAGAACATTTTGTGAAAATAACCCTTGTTGCATTTTATATGAGTTTGTGTTGACAAATGCAGACTTTGGGAACTGTAAATAGTTATATATGTTTAAAAGATAAGGTCTTAACAAGGTTGATTTTTGTTGTTACACAAACTTCTTGAAAAATAAACATTTTGTATGTGTGATTTATTCTTATTTTCTGAGCTGCTTCCTATCAAGACCATGTTCCTATTTTTTTTTTTGTAAGGTTTTCCTCCCCCATCTCATTATGTAGGTAATGTTACTAATAAAAGTATTGTTTTTCATCATTAGAGAATAGTGAATGATATCAAATCACCACTCATATTTGATGATAGTATTGTAGAGGGATGAAATGATTGGTAGACAGCAATGACCACACCACTGTGGACATAGTTGTGAGTGAATGAGTAAATAAAACAAACATTGTAAGTAATGATGTATATTGACACATTTTATCACTCGCACAAAACAATTAAAATTTTCACATTGAAACAATACACAGAATTAAATATTCAACATAATATAGCTATTACTTACAAATTAAAACTGAAATTACACATTGTGTAATGTGTAAGTAAACAATAAATAATGTATCTATTTACATTATATTAATAAGATTGGGTATTTGAAGTCTAAGATGCTTCCATACATGACTAATGTGACATCATGTGTGAAAGCATTAAAGAAATATTTTGTATAATACAAAAAATAATGTGACAACAATAGGAATATTTTAGAATTTTGAGCATATACTGGCTATTGCAGAGGCATTTAGATATAATAAATATGAACCATTAATAAAATTATTTCATGAATAAGAAACCAGTTTTAATTTTAAATAATTAAAACAAGTTAGATCAGCGTAGCAACTTGTATTTAAAATTGTGATATATGGCAAATATACTATTAACATTTCAAGCATTACGGTTTCTATGTAGCTGACTAGTGCTGTTTTGTAAATGGAAATATTTTAATATAACTTTCAATTAAACAAACCGGGATCATTTTATTTTATTACTACGAACTTGTATAACAGCTGTCCTCGTCTCTATAAACTGTATCGTCGTTATTACGATCATAAATTAGTGACAAAGCGTAATATCTAATTATGGGACCCGAATCCCAGTTCACAGCCACAATATACTTCACTTACAATAAAAGCATTATAAAGTACAAACCTCGATACATAGGGGTGGCTAGTAATATTATAAGTGTCTAGAGGCACGTCTACGTTAATAAATTTACAGACAGAGTCTAACAACTCAAGTTACATTATCTTTGTTTCCGTCTATTCTATCAATTGACTATTATTTACATTGACCAAAGATTAAATAATAATTAGTAACTATTTACATCTGCTAATGCGTTTTGCGGGCATCGAACCTAATGATAGCTGCTTATCAGTCACAAGACTTCCATGGTTAAGTCTAGTTCGGTTATTGCAATATATAATTTTCAGAGAAGCATTTTAGTTAACTCTGCGCGTGCATAGATTATAAGTAGCTAATGTAGTAGTAGTAAGCTAATGGCCTCCGCCATGAGGTTTCTTTATGATATATTCTAAAATAGAACACAACGGATATACGAGTTTACATGTCCGCGGATAAATAATAAGGGATTTTTTTTTCTGCTGTATACAAAGAGTCCCTACATCTGCGTAGGCCCTTAGATAAGTATGCACAGCGAATTTTCACTATACTAATTTCAATATGCGTATTCGGAATGATTCCCGTGCGGTTTTCTCCTGCGAATACGTAATAGAATAGTGGTGAAATATCCGCATGGTAATAAATCAGTGTGGGTTTAGCTTGATAGAAATTGTATTTATTCGATGCCGAACGTGTTCGTTTCTTCAACGGCTAGTAGGAGTTTTTCGTGCAGTAGCTGCGGCGTGGGGTAGGGCGGCAGGTCGAGGCGGTTGAAGCAGGTGTGTGCGCGCGGCAGCGACTCGACGCGTCCCCAGCGCTCGATGCAGAAGCGGCGCGGGCCGGTGGAGCCGCGCAGCGCCGAGAACCCTTCGTAGGGGATCGACGACGTGCCCGTCACGAACTGGACGAGCCGCAGCCGTTGCTCGTTTGTGAATCTGTTCAACGTAACATATTGTTATAATTGTATTAGCTGCCTACTAATATGACACTTTGCTTAACTAGTGGAGGGCATCGAAGGTTTTTCACACATAATGAAAGTATAGACCCAGATTTGGGAAAAATATATTTTTTCATGTTTTAAATAAGTAGAAAAATTACATATCAACTAGTACACTACTAGCTTTTACCCGCGACTTCGTCAATATCACCGGGATAGGATTACTGACTGGGATAAAACTGTCTTTCTCCATTCCGTACAGTACGTGTATATCAAATGTCAGTGTACATAGTAACAAAACAAATTTACTTTCACATTCGAAACCGGTCAGGTATTTATTATAAAACTTTTTTTGTGTAACAGTACCAGTATTTTCTAATAATATCAATATGTATACAAAGTTCCTAATGCCGACAATGATGATTATTTTTTTTGTGAGTGTAAATGGAATGGTAGCCCCGCCTGCACTATCGGTGGGTGGACACCGGCTGGGCACCAGTCAGCGATGATAGGTGAGAATGAAAGCATGTCATGTAGCTCATCATGACGAATTTAAGCATTAACCACTATGGTTTCCAAGGGGAACCGTGTGGAGCTCGGCCTGATATGGTATATTGCTAGCAATGACGTTATCAGATCCTACGAGTATTACTAAAAATTTCTTTCTGTCCCAACTACAACTATTAGCAAACTGTGTATGTTTTTAATGGATGATCATGGAATAGAAACTCCTCCTATATATTGTTTATGAGTGTGAAGTAGCATTGAGGGATGACAGGTGAGGAAGAAGTCAAATTAACAAATTTATGAGAAATCAACCATGTCGCTTTTCAGGGGGAATCGCTTGGAGATCAACCTCATTAAATTAGCGAGCCGCAGGGGTTGATAGAAAAATTAATTGATGAAAATTACAAAAATGTAAACTTTCGGTTACATTAATTTAATTTTCATAGAAATCTCTAATTTTTTCGAAATAAAAAATATAATGCATATTACTTGTTGATAATGTAGCTTTCTATAGGTGAAAGAACTTTTATAATCTGTTAAGTAGTTTTAAGAGCTTATACATAACAAACAAACATACGAGAAATCAAATATCCCCTTTCCTCCAATTCACGAGGAGGTAGCGACTGTAGTGTAGCGTAGTGTGGTATGGTACCTGTCGATGGCCTGCCAGAACCAGACGATGACGGGGTGCGCGTCGTGGTAGCCGCCGCGGTACTCGGTGTGCGCGCGCCAGTCGGCCACATCCAGCTCGGGCGCGCCCGCGATCACCAGCTCCAGCTCGCGCGCGTCGAACGCCGCCACCAGCCGCGGGTCCACCACCTGCGACGACGGTCACCGCACGCTAGCACATCTCTATCGCTACTAAGAGCATCTTAAAACTCCTAATAGGAATTAGCAGCGAAAAAAAGACTGATCACTGAGGTTGCAGTATTACAAGTTTTTCTGCCTGCCAAAGTCCATTGATAATAATAGCAAATCAATGCTACTAATAATCGTAGAATGGTTTCGTTACCCTCGGGGGCATTGGCGTACTTAATATTATTTTCTATGAAGACCCTGATGCTTAAAAAAGGCGTGTATGTACTCTCAGATATTTTATTTATTTATTTTGTCATTAGTACAAATATGTGTACATGGCGGACTTAATGCTAAAAGCATTCTCTCCCAGTCAACCATAGGGAAGTTTCAGAATACTCGAATGCGGTACTACTAATTATTGATATACATACATACTAAAATTACATATGTTTGGCAACAGCTAAAAGCTTCGCACCTGATTCTGGGATGGCACCAGACGATCATCATCAGCATATCGGCGGTTAACTATCCAATGCTGAACATAGGCCTTCCCCTATTGGGGAATTTGGCTACGCTGGGCAGGCAGGTTGGAAACCGTAGACAGACTTTTGGAGATGTTTTAAGAGGGACGCTGCTGCCCAACCTTCGATTGTAAGTACCCACGGGAAAGGATGGGGTGGCTTATTCTATACCGGAATTTGCAAGGCACACACCAGACGATACCTCACATTAAATACGTCAATGTTTCAATGCTAGATCGCTTTCTGTATACACAAAGGTCTTTGATGTATCTTACGTGTGCTCACCGAAGCATGAAGTGACAATATTTTTTAAATGATCCGAACATTAAAATCCGAGCGAAGATTCGATTTTAAGATCTCCAGACCGCAGTCGAGCGTTGTCCAACGCTAGAACTGTAGTCGCTCATATCGCATATTTTAATATCAAATACATGAGGGATACCAGCAGCGTTATAGTTGATTCTGTGCCATTCATGTTTATACGCGGTGGTCCATAATTTTCCATTGTAATTCTAAGTTACATAAAAAATATTCCTCATCCACAGGTTCCAACACATATTAAAAATAAAAAACCCCAATTCTCACCTCGTGGAATCCCCTAACGAGCCACTCGGTCTGTTCTGCAACGCCCCGCTCTACCCGCCACCGTACCACCCTCTCCAGGTACTCTTTCTTGTTTCTCTCAGTAACAGCCACTTCCCTCCCGCCAGGCTTGAGCTCTCGTTCCAGCACTCGGCCGTCTGCGAGGCGCTCGGATACAGCGAACGTGAGCTCCAGAGACGACACGCAACGAGCCGACTGGAAATAAATTTATATAATTAACTAGGTTTTGGACTTTAGAATTTGAAAAATTAATAAAATAGACTATTTCTAGATGGCATATCCAAATAAAACATACATAAATTTTTAGGCTAGGCCTTTAGGAATCATCATATTAGACGTTAACTGTCCACTGCTGAACATATTTTGAGTTTATTCATTACAAACAAAATACAAAAAAAATCTTTTATCTCTATAACATTAGATTTACCTGTAGCCACCGCAGCGACGCAGCGAACTGTGCATCGAGCGCATCGACGTCTTCCAGCGCCGGTGGCAGCCGGAGAAGCGCCCGGTAAAGGGCTCGCGTGAACCACGCCTCGAGCAGGTAGCCGTGAACTAGCGCCAGGCCCAGTACGCGCCCAGAGAAACGGAACCTGATGACAACAATTTTTATTAGGCATATTTAAGATTATTGTAAAGGGAAGCCTTGGTCTCCTAAAAATTGGGCATATGTGCTCTCATGTGTGTCTTTGTGAAGCTTTGCTTGCATCCGAATTTTTTTATAATGGGTGATAATGGAATATGGTAACTTCGTGTGTGCTATCGGTATAAGCTGGCGGGGTATCAGTGAGGGATGAAAGGTGACGATGAACGCAGGTCAGTTAGCCTATCGAGACGAATTAACCACGATGGTTTCCAGGGGGACCCGCGTGGAGATCCATCCGAGAGGGAGTATTGCTGGCAATGGGTCAGTTAGATCCCATTACTGATAATTCCTTCCCTCCCCCTCCCCCCTCTCCCAACTGCCCAAGGTTAACCAAATATATTAATGAAAACACAATTCTGGTAAGCTTTTTTTTAATATGTAGCTAGTTAATGATTACGAATATAAATTGGAAATGAAATATGGATCATAACAAATGGTACTTAGTACCATTATTATATGATTCGGTTACAATTATATCAACTTTGCGTGACATACAGACACGCAAAAAATATATAGGTACAGCTGTGAGTGCATAGTGTTTGTTTGATATCCGATATTCGGTGTTTGTTGTAATACGATGCGAGTTTTGTGTATGGGGCCGGCGCGGGCGCAGCTCCCGACGTACCGGAACTGTGCCGGTTAAAAATAGTCATACACACGACGCTTAAATAGGCTGTCAACTGATTATTTTTGTATAATATCAATATGGCGTTTCTCAATATATTGTTAAGTAAAATAATAGTTTACAACTTATGGAGTAATGAAATGTTATGTTGAATTTATTTGTTACCCATTATCACCTTAACGGCTAAACCAATCGCTATGAAATTACTCATACATGTAGTTTCTGTTTGGCTTGGAGCTAGTAGACAAAAAATATGAATTATAATATTTTACCAAACACACAAAAAATAATAAATTTTTCGCTAATCTTCGCCATTAATAAATTCCAAATGTTTTCTTATTTCTCTCTAAACTACATACAAAACTCATTATACTAAAATAAAAGTTTACCTACAACATGAAAATCTATTATTTATGTTAAATATCTGAAGAAGTTAATAAATTACTAATACCAATATATCTTTTTCTAAGATCTTCATTAACAGACCGTTATGTTGAAAAAGGAATAGACCGTTCTGGGCGTGTCGTTTATATTATAAATTGTTCTAGTTCATTATGCGAAAAATATTTTCAACTATCATATGATGACTTAATCTATTTGACTACTCATTAGTATTAATTATAAAAAGCCATAAAAATATCATCTCGACTATATATATATATATATATATATATATATATATATATATATATATATATATATATATATATATATATATATATATATATATATATTTATAATATTAAATGAAAAATATTTTTAGATTATGATATATATCGCCCATGTGTTTTTCAAGGCATTTTCTTTCACGCACAACCACTTTTTGGAATCGATTTCCAGCAGCAGTATTTCCGAACCGACACGACTTCGTAACCTTCAACAAAAGAGCATATTTCTTTTTAAAAGGTCGGCAGTACACCTGCAATGCCTCTGGTGTTGTGGGTGATCATGGGCGACGGTAGTCACTTATCACTAGGTGAGCCGCATGCTCGTTTGCCCCTTGTGATATAAAAAAATGACTGAAAAAACAGGATTTATTTTTGACGCGTATCTTTTTTTTACACTTAGGTCCTCGTGTACCCAGCTGTCAGACACACCATGCTATAATTACAACATAAGCATAGGCATACTTAGAGGTGGATCTAGTGAATCGTGTCCACCCTAGAAGTGTCTAGTGCCCACCCCAATATTAAGAGCGGGGATTTTATCTATGGGCAAAAATATGGTTTTTTTTTATGGGTAAAAATGGTATGGTAACTCCGCCTGTGCTAACGGGATACGCTGGCGGAGCACCAGTGAAGGGTGATAGATGAGAATGAAAACAGGCCAGTTAGCCCATCATGATAAATTCATCAGGAATTAACCATGATAGTTTCCAGGGGGAACCGCGAGGAGGTCGACCTGGTTGGGTATATTGCTAGCAATAGGATTCTCAGTCTCCATTACTAACAATCCCTTTCCCCCGGCAAAGATATGGTTATAACTTTCAATCAGGTGGGCCGTTATAAGTTACATAAAAAAAAAACATACTCGAGAGTACATATGTGTCTATTACAAGGGGCCAAGAGTTCCTAGAAAATAATTTTAAATACGTCAATGAACACGGCCATACTCTATTATGCCACAACTATCAACTTAAAGCACCATAACGCATTAGAACGAACAGGTAAGTGCCTATAGTTTTGTACCTGGCCATGGCTATACTTATAATAAAGGGCTAGTCCAAATGATAATGTGTACCGTTACGGAGGCTCGCTGGTCGCATTGTTTGGACAACATCAAGTTACAATATTACGAGCCTGTGGACGTAGATTGTATGTGGGATGAGGTTTGAATTCATTATATAGACGAAAAGGAACGTTTACAATCGACGGAAGTCTTATATCTATTGAGATCGGAATAAATAATAAATATATACATATTAATTAAAAATAAAGTACTGATATTGATTAACTGTTATACGTGAGAGAATTGTTAATGAAATTTCAAATTATTATATCTAATAGGTACATTTCTGAATGGTCTCATTTCCTGAATAAATTTAACATGGAAATATCATCAAAATCAGTTTAAATAAAAATTCTAAATCATTTAGTGAAAATTCAATTATTGGAAGGTCAAGGAAAATCCCAGTAATTATTTGAGAATATAAAATTCCGGACAAACTTTTTATATTTAAGATTTGGCAGCATGGTCTCCGATCTTAGCCTGTTTTCGTTGAGTTACGAAGGTACCAAAAAAAAATTATTTTATTAGCAGTTTCACTTGTATTTAATTTAATTTAGATTATTCTTTATTATAGCTCGTTACCAGTGAAATAAAATATATTCCTATAATAATAATAATAATAATAATTTTTATTTCAGACTTTTTGGTCCATTAAATATTTATTAGTAACAATATTCTTAAAAACTAATGTTAGTAAATTTACATACACAATACACATACACACACATACACACATACAATATATTAAGCAGTATACAGATAATCACCGCTGCACAATTCCATTGGAAATTGCGCAGCAGTGATTAACGTACACACAGTCCAGCCTGCTTGCTATCATACTCAGGATGCTGTTGGTGCTGGCACGTACTCTGCGCACCAGGGATGCACACCTTTTTCGCATCGTGGCATAAAAACAATCTACACGATGCTCAGCGAACATCCCTGACGCGCTGCAGAATCGTGGCAGCCCCATCAACACCCTGAACGCGTTATTATATTGGATACGGAGGTCGCTGTAGGATTTTTGAGTATATACAGCCCACAGGTTGCATGCATAGAAAGATGTGCAATGTGATCTAAATAACGTAATTTTAACTTGTCCAGAGCACCGCGCAAACCTGCGTGCTATCATATTCGCCCTCACCGCCAGCGCCCTCCGCTCCCGTTCAATGTCATCATCATCTTTGAGATCCGAGGCCAATTGATGTCCTAAATATTTAAATTTATACACCCTCTTCAGCGTTATACCCTTAAGTTTAATATCTGGAAAGCCTATTGAGTTTTTGCCTCTGCTCTCAAAGACCATGACCACACTTTTCACAGCATTGTATATCAGTCCGTGGCATGCAGCATATGACTCGCAAATAGCCACGAGTTTTTTAAGCCCACATATCGACGCGCTGAGCAGCACCATGTCATCAGCATAACTTATATTATTAACATTAATGCCGTCTATGTGACAGCCGACACGGGTACCACTCAAAGCAACAATCAGATCATTAATATACAGATTAAATAGTACCGGCGAAGACAACCCTCCTTGCCTCACACCACACTCCAATCTGTATGACTGCGACATAGTCCCCGCCCATCGCACGCTATTGAGCTGATTTCCATACCAATATTTGCAGATATTTATGAGCTCTGATGGTAATTGAAAATTTTCGAGCTTTTTCCACAAGATGTCATAAGAAACCAGATCAAAAGCTCTCGACAGGTCGAGAAAGCATGCATGGACTGGCGTTTTTCGATTTGTATAGTATCTAATAGCATGCTTAACACAAAGAACAGCGCTTTCAGTTGACAGTCCAGTTTGAAAGCCAAACTGGTTGTCATGAAGTTTTATATGCTGAGTCAGTCGAGAGTTAAGCATGCTATCAAACACCTTTGAGACAACAGTAGCTAAGGAGATTGGCCTATAATTATTTTTGTCTGTTATATCAGAAATTTTATTCTTAACTACAGGTATCACCACTGTTCTAATCATCTCCTCCGGCATGTACGAGTGACTTATACAAAAGTTAAAGAGCATTGCCAACAGTCTCGCCAAGTGTGGCCCAGCATGTTTTAGATGTTCAATACTGAGACTGTCGTGTCCTGGAGATTTACCTCTACTCATAGATTTTATAATTCGATCTACTTCACTAGCAGTACATCTAATTTCCACCACACGTCCAGTCTCAACATTCAACTCCGCACGCGATGGCCCCAAAGGGGATTTAACAGTAAAATGATCCTTAAAAAGATCAGCTATGTTCTCGGCATTACTTACGCCTTCAATAGACACAGGAAGGGCAGACTTTGTACTTAGCTTCCTCGTAGCCTTCCAAAAAGACCGAAAGTCATTATTAGAATGATGTGAAGCTAGAATATCCATCTTTATTTGTTCTTCGTGGTCTTGACACCACTTTAGACTTTTCTTAAAGTATCTTCTAGCCTCACACATATCATTATAGATGGAGCCAACTCTAGGTTTACCATAATCACACCAAACATGAAATTTCTGCCTGGCATTCCTGTGTGCCTCATTAACATGTTTATTCCAACCTATTACAATTTTCTTTTTCTTACGCTTACAATGTGTGTTATTTCTACTAGCTACAGCCGCTCTCTTTAGTACATTTATTATATCATTATACAACTTATCAATGACCTGTCTATGTTGTATAACATTACAAGTCTGATCGGCACAGTTATGGAACTCGGATGGAAACTTAAGAAGTTTGAAATGAGAATGACACTCATTATAATATGAGTCGATTTGTTCTATGCCTCTGTCACCCCACAAAACATTGTTACGTTCACATTTTACTTCTTCTATCTTAGGTGGAACTACGTCTAAATTACACTCAAGAATCAGCGGAAAATGGTCTGACCAGAGTATGTCATATTGTATGTGCACTCTACGTACAGAGGACACAGCCGCTTTCGATACTATACAATGATCTAGCCACCGCTGCGACCCATGAGCTTCACTCACAAACGTAAAACAGTTCGATGAACCCTTCAACATTTCTATATCTATAGAAGTCCATTCCTGTTCCTCACAAAATATAGATAATTCCTTAAAGAATGATTCTGTGGGATGAGCATTGAAATCGCCCATAATATAAACACAATCCACATTATTACTGTCTATGATTGCACTTACCGAGCCGAGAATGTCCGTAAATTCCACTAAGTTTGTAGACATATCGGTAGGCATGTAGACACTCATCACTAGGATTGACCGCCCTTTTAACATTATTCTTATCGCACATATGCGGGGATTATCACATGGCACTACTACAACATTGGAAAATACACTGTGCCGTCAGAGGATCGCGACACCACCGTGCGGTCGCCCGCGCAGTATTTCCTCCGTTGTATCGATCGCCGACGTTCCCGTAGAGGTAAACTCGCAATCTATGCTGCACAAATATGATAGGTCACTCGGCAACAACCACGTTTCTTGCAGGGCTATGATATCCGATCTTTTACATAATTCCCGTATCCCTTCTACAGAGCGCTTCACATTCTTACAATTGAAGGTAACAAAGTTGTAGATCCCACTATCCATAATTTTGGTGTGTAATGCCGTCAATGGAAATATGTGCGTTTCCAGTCGATTTTTTTAGTTTAAAATTAATAAACCGTCGAAAAATTATCCCTTCTGGCCATATATTCTCATCCAAAAACAACGAGACTTTGTTTTGTGCTACAAAGAATTTGAATGCATTGTAATCACATTGACGCTTAATGGATATTTTCTCTAATGCCACTGTTTCTTGTGTCATCTTACAAATGTATCGAACGATATCTGATTCTGACGTATTTTTATGCACATTAGTAATAAACAGTGGTATTTTTCTCTCAGCAGCTCTAAACATCTCATCTGTTCCGATTACAACTGTCCCTAATTTTCTTTCAATGCGTCTATTTTTTTTTTCTTTTCTTCTCGACGATTGTCCATTCATTATTAGACCTTACGGCACCTGCATAAGATTCAACAAGTGTTGTACCTACTTTGCCGACCGTTGGCTGCGTGGACTGCCGGTTACATGTCAACAATGACTCATCGCGTTTCGTATTGTCGGTTACACGGCTATTTTCAGTTTCAAACGTTTGATGGAACGTTGCATCGATAAGTGTATCACTACTACCCTCCGGATAATTTGTGTTTATATTTATATTTCTATAATGTAAATTATTATCCCGTGTAGAAGACATTTCACCACTGGATTCATCTTCATGATTACTTATAGTAGACTCATCCATAACCGATAAAGCTATAGGGCCGCTGTCACGATAAGCACCTCTTTTTATGTTAATCTTAGCGGCAGAGAATGGTGGCGAAACGGTTTTTAAATTATAGCACTCCTTTTTAACTTCTTCTAGCTGCTTAACAGTTGCATACGATGATTTAATTGTTTTAATTTCAGACTGTACTATCAATAGGTCTTTCAGGACTTTAGATACGTCCAAATGATCCCAGGTGATAGGTGGCAGTTTTTCAAGGTCACGAGCAACAAATATAGGCAGCATATCAGGATCTGTGACTTTGAAGAAGCTGAGTATGTTGTACAACAGACGATCTCCCTTTCCTTTTCCTTTACGTGCGATTCTTCGTAACTCTGAAGACACTGATTCAAATAGTAACGTATGTGACTTTTGAACTTGTTCACTTGTAAACGATGATGCACAGATTTTTACTAAGCTTTCTTCATCAGCTATCGATATTTTGTTCTGTATGTAAGACAGAAGCTCATCAATTACAATATTACAGGTAGCACATTTCACAGTACACGACATTTTTGCGGAAGTATTTCGCGTATCAAAAAACACATCTAACGCCCGTGAACACGCGCATGCGACTGTAGGTACATGGGTTGAAAAATAACAAAAAAAATTTGTTTAGTTGTCAAATTAGTAACATGTACCATAATAATTATTTAACAGTTTTAAAGTGCAATAAATAAATAATTCCTGTAGGTTAATAAATCGTAGTGTTAGCTCGTCAAAAATCAATTAATCAGTCGATCGATTCAAGACATTAGTCCACTGTCGTTAAGTGCCTAGACACTTTATAACATTTGTGAAGTGTCAAATGGTATGGAACACTTAAGTTAATGATTACCTACCCATATTGTTCACCAGTACATATACCGATTTGAAGGTCAGATAGACCCAATGATGGAGCAGCGGCTGTCACTCACTAACTAAGTATTAAGTACTAGATAATCACAGATATTTAAAATAATAGTACGTAATCAACTATAATGTTATTTTATAGGTTTGTCTAATTCTCTCATTTGTTAACCAGGAAGACTGGAATTACAATGCATACGTATTTCCTAGTTCGTAATGCATAGCTAAGAATAATTATATGTTATTACTATATTTATACATCATGATGTACTCATCATGTTGTATAAATATATCCTGTTTTAATAGAATTTAATAAAAACGCAAACAAACAAACAATTAATCTAACCATAATTCTGAATTACACGATACAGGCTTGCATGCCTAGTGTGCAATTCGTAAAAAGTGTTTTTGGCAAATAAATACTCATATCATGCATTTTATAAGATAATTTGTTAATATCAAATAGCAGTGCAAATAAAACATAGATTAATTAATTGAATATTTCTATTTGTTACTAATTTCATTCAGGAAGTGTTGATTTAACAATTTCAATAAAACTTGATAACATGTTCACCAATATACTATATATATCCTATCCTGCCTTTTATGTCCATCGTCATCCATGAGGGGGATATTAATGAAGCGATCATCCGTCCCGTCCAATTAACAAAATTTCAAATTAAGAATAAATAGCGTTCGTCTAGTCATATACTATGTAAGGTTTGTACTATTGATACTTGGGAACTGATAAAATTAACTGAATATATTTATTTATATACACATACATAGAAAACGCTCAGACCAATACAAGCAGATATAAGTACTTAATTACTATAAATTCATTCGTGTTTCAACCGTAAAGCAGTTGTGTTTGCATGGCTGTGTTTCGGTTTGAAGGGTAAGATATGGCGTGAATTTACAGGGTACAGAGGAATAACACCTGAGTCCTCAGGACGGGCAACGCATGGGGGGTATCATGGGCGAAACAGTACACTCTGTTATGTCCATGTTATTGCTCATGTCTATAGGCGACGGTTACCACTTTCGATCAGGTGGGCTGTCAGCTTGTTTGCCATTCTAAGTTGAATAAAAAAAAATTTTTGTATTGAGCGGGGACCGAATACGCAACCATAGGAAGATGAGGCAGTGTAATAAGCCGCTACACCATTAAGGTCGCCAAGAAGATGATGAGGTTAATGGTGATGATTATAATGCAATAAAATCAAAATACTCACCACTCATGGTGGTTGTCGACAAAGGCGGACATAGGCGACACGTGGACCGTGTACGTATCGTTGGCGGAATACTCGAAGAGGCCGTAGTAAGGGTTGAACAGTTCCCTGGACAGCAGGAAGAAGAACTCCCTACTGGGGCCGCCGTAGTCGAGTCCTTCCTCGCCGTCCCAAAGCACGCACAATTTGCCCTTCTGTAGTTCCTTCTTTCCGCAAGACATGATGCGTCTGAACGCGTCTTCTAAAAGGTGCTCCCGGCGTATGTTTAGTCTGGAAACGTTTGTTATACTTTAAATTAGAAAACTAGTGACGATGGATTTATTAATGAAGAATTAGAATAATTCAATATTTCTATTAAATGCCAAAAGAATTATCACAACAAATTTAAAATTGAAAACATCGTGTAAGATACATATAAAAAAAGGGAAATAAAACTCTCCATCTTTTTGAAGTAGTTAAAAAAAGAATACCAACTTCTGTTAATCAATTTTAACATCACAGATATACCTGTCTCCTCCTTTCGAACGTAAATCCCTAAAATCAAAAAGTCCTAGTAGACTTCTTATCGAGTGCCGCCACTATAGCGAAAATAGCATCTGATTTGTTATTAGGTTATTTGCCTTTCTAAGCATAGAAAACTCATGTTTTGTGCATCTTGGACAATTAATGAATAAATAATTCTTTACACAATTTTTAAAGGAAAACCAGCTGACAGCCTATGTGATAGATAGTGATGGCAGTCACCAAATTCGTCTACAGATATTTAATGCACCACGAACAGAACAGAGTAGTTGATGGCTTTCCTTGTATAAGAGGCATTAATTGTCATTCTTTAGGACTAAGATAACTCTGTGAGTGCAATACTACTTGACAACAGAATCAGGAACGGAAGACAGATACTAATAAATGCACACGACATGACAGTGTCTCTCTGACACATTTTGTACGAATTTTCAAATGTTGGATACATCCAAATTCTTACATAGGTTTGGATATACAATATGTCTTTTATCTACTAATCTCACCTATTATCTGGACTTAATCTTCAACTATATATTATGAGAATTCGTTATCTGAACAACGAACTTCTGAAAGTCTAAATCAGAATACAATCCAAGCTAGTGAAGTTCTTTTTTTAAGTTGGCCTAACCGAAAATGCAACATCACTTTTTGGGAAAACAACATGTCTATAACTAATAGACCTTGTCAAATTGCAATGGAAAATGATTTTATTTTGTTATTTATACCCTTCATTTGCCTTCCTGTTCATCTAGGTTATAAGAGATGACATCAATTACTTTAATTTCCCGGGTCCTTGGCCGTATCCTTTGCTCTCCAGCTTGCGGTAGAAAGCTCGCAGTTTGGCTTCGAAGTCTCGGCGCTGCGGCGCGGGCGCACGCGTGCTTCGCGCGGCCGCCGGAGACGCTGCGGGGGACGCACCCGCTCCGCACCCACCCGCCGGCACGTAGCTCATGATCTCCTGCTCGAACAGGCTGTCGACAATAATTAGATAGAGTAAGAACTTGGTACAAGAGATTTCACGAAAGGTCTTAAACTTAGACACGTTTAATTTGAATTGACCGTTACCACTTTATTAGGTAGATCATTCATTACCTTGAAAAACAAATAGAGAGAGAAACTGAGATAGGAACTAAGTTAGATAGTATTAACATTCTTTCTTTTACTAAAATAATATATATTTAAGGTAATATATAGAAAGAAATAATCGTTTTAAAACTGACGGACGGAATTGAAACGAAGAATCAAACTGAAGAGAAACTGACAGAACAACCGAAATGAAACTTAACATTTTCAAAACAGAACTTGGAAATATTTGTAGTAAGTGAAGGACGTCATTTTGTTCTAAAGTTAAATACAAAGTTGAAAATAAACGGACATTCGTGCGTGACTCCCCATTGTACCCACCTGCCGCATTTCGACCTTGGCCAATTCTTAAATATTACAAGGGAACAAAACAGCCAAGAAATTTAGTTTACATAACGATATACGAATATACATAAGAATATAATTACAAACGATGAAAAGTTATTTAAATATGATGTAATGTAACAAATTATAATCATTATTTACAAACAAAATAAACTAACTATAAATGTTAAGGCAGTGAATATTACAACAAGTGAATTGAATTCAATGTCGAATACATAAGACGCCGGACTGTTTATGAAATAATGGAATGCATTTAAAGTAATTTCGTGTCACACTTATGCGGAGCATAACCATGTTTTGTCTCACAAACTACAGAGAGACGAAAACACGAATAAAGTTTCACTTGTTTTCTTTTAAACAATTGCAATCCTTAGTTAAGAGCAGATAACATTAAAATGCTTAGAAAGTCGTGCGAAATAGATGTTAATTCGCAAAAATCACATATTCAAGTTGATTTTCGGTCTTTTTTATTAAAATAGCCAAAGCGTGTGAAAGTCTGCGAACTTCTTCGGTATCAGAGCGCGGATTGTTAAGAACGTAATATGCAGTGAACTCGATGTCAGTGTGAAACCGACGACTAATTGATGCAACAACCGTTGAAATCTTTATTGTTATTGCAAAATGTAATCTTGGACAAAGCTGATGAAAGCTGCCGGAACTTGACATTCATATCCAGTAACCAGTACTAACAAACTGTCGGACACCATAAGACCGAACTTTCCTATTTCCAGTAAAACGGTCTCGGCTAAAATGCCCACGAGGTGCAATGAACCATAAAAGATTATATCCAAAAAGATGAGAGCAAGGCCGGCCCACATTAGACAGAGACAAAACGCGGGGCTCTAGGCTAGTAATACCCGTAATCGATTTAGGCGAGCGGGCCGAGATTTAGAACCGCTCCGCCCCCCGCTCGTGATCGAGATTTGGTAATTAGTATAATAATTTCATTTGGGCACGGTGAAATATACGTGAGGGTACGCGGTATGCGCACGCACCGATCGACGACGGATAAATTTTGAATCTTCGATGTGTGTTCGGAATTCAAATGGATGTCTATACCTATAATTTTCTTTTGTTAAGAGGATCCAGGTGTGATCGTTGCGTCACATAGCAACGGTCCAGTCATAACAAAACGCGCGATTTTTCGGCGCAATTATAAACAATAGGTTCACAATAATAGCAACGGGCTTATCACGTTCGTGCCACCCAAATAAATTGGTTGAATCCTTATAGAGAGAAACCTTCAGAAACGAGCGTTCTGTTACGATTATGATAGTTGCCTATTATGTAAGTTGTGTGTACAATATCAATAGTCATTTGGCAATCAGCTGCATTGTCTGTATAATTGATTTGTAGCCATTTGAATGACAAATGCTTAACAAATTAAGGAAACGATTTGTCCTTTGCGGTGGCTGTGTGTGGCACTGGCTACCTCTCGCTGTATGTTGACCTACAGAAGGGAACAACCTCGGTAATTATCTGTTACTGAGTCAGATCTAAAATGGAAATATAAAATTGAAAATAGTATTGTAGTCTATGTCATATTCAATTTTGCAGAGTATACTAGAAAAATCTAAAGCAAAAGAAAAGCTTACAAATTAGGTTCGCTTATTATTATATTTACCATCATTGAAGAGTAAGTTGGGATTTAAATTAACATAAAGGTATTGTTGTCCGTAATAACAAAACTCACACCGATTGATATCGTTTCTAATGTTGCGGGGCATTAGACCAAAACGTATCTTCTAGATTTATATATTTATTAATCATTTACATGTTACTCATATCAGAAAATATTTATTTATGCTGCAGATATTGAACTCTGATAAACAATCTGAACTATATTTATTGGTATCCACAATTTCAACACCAAGGCCGTACAGCTCCGGGCGCGACAGAAAAATTTTAGAAAAATGAAGCACAAAAATGCTCATGGTAATAGCACCTTCTTCGTAGTCATTACATAAGCATCCGGCACATCCCACACATATATCATTGAAAGGCCACCAATCCCCGAAAGTTAATGACTATCGGAGGCATTTCCCCGGAGGGCGAGCGGCGCGGGCGCACGCGCTGGACACGTCCGCGCCCGCGGCTCGAGCACGCAGCCGTTGTGTTGCTGGCTTATTGATCGCTAGATGCCCTGCCCTGCTCGCGTAGACAGGTGTGCGAGGAGTGTCCCGCCCGCGGCCCCTCATTGTATACCGATCTCTGTGATAGTTTTCAAGATAACGCCCAAATGATACGCGTGACGTCTTGATACAGTGTCAGGGTGTACCGAGGATGACGCGGCGGAAGATCCCCTGGGCCCGATATAGCTGGTAGTTATTCAATTAACAGTGACTCAGAGAGTGACGAGCGTTTAGTTTGTATCAACAATGGTCACTAAACTTACAGGATTAGTCCACTACTGTGTAGGTAATAAATTATAAGTGGGTCATAAGTAAGACAAATAAGAGAGTAGTGACATAAATATATGATTGTCTTTGTACAAAACAAACTTTCACCATTCCTGGTCTGACAAGCTGGTTCATTATACGAAGTTAAGACGACACGGGTCATGTTATTTTGGGGATTTCGAGAGTTTTATTTTAACGTATTTTACCCATCTAATGAAGTTTTAATTAACTTCGTAATCTTGCAATAAACCTTAAATTTACACGTACAACAGTTATATATAGGATGACAATTGGTTCAATGCAAATAAAGCCTCATAACACAAAAAAGCCGATTGATTCTCACAGGTACTTGGTTTATATACATTGTTTTTTTTCCGTGACCCAAATAGTTGCGCTAGAAGATAGACTTTATCATAAACCTGATCCTGTATCTGCATAGTTGGATCTGATGAAATAGACAGGTGTAACAAAGAACTAGAGCAGTGAATAAAAAATTGCTGAACAAAAATTTCATGTTTTCTGTGTAAATCCATAAAATTTGATTTACATGAAATGTGTTATTCTAATTAAAAATGCTTTTAAAATACCAATGTAGAGTACAACTGTAAGAGATCCCTTTATGGGATAAGTCCGCCATTGTATATTAAATTATTTATCAGTGCTTAATTTGAATTATGTACAATAAAGATTTTACAGTACAATACAATACAATGTATTGCATGAGATCAAAACGTGCTAAATAATTGTTAAATAAAATTGGTTAAAGCTAACTGTAAAAAAATTATAAAATCTCAGAGTTGACTCTATCTTTAGTACATGTATCTATAAGAATGTGATCAAAGATATTTTAAAAATGCCTAGGCGATTATAACCGTCGTGATGGCCCGCTAGGCCTAAGTAAACCACGTGTTACGGGCCCCGGGCGAGGCGAGGCGAGGCAGCGCTGTCGTACCCAGTAAGCGCACGCGCAGGTGCTATGAAGCAGGTACACAAGTATCGCCGTTGTTTGTAGTCATTACCAACGATACTGTTATAAAAGACAGTTGAAGATATAATTTCTCTTGATATTAGGCAGTTATAACATACTATACATTATAACTATAGTAAGAATAAAAATATTTAATATTAATAGAAATCTTTAGAATCCTTTGAAGGAAATCAGCGAAACTGAACACGAGTATTTTCATCAACGAGACATGGTCGATAAACGAACGACAAAAACTATTGAGCCTTCGATACTAACACGGCGCATTCAGGTATTGAGTTAGTATGAGAGATTGAACATTTTTTTTTATAGTTTTTGAATTTTGATTAAAAAAATTCCTATCCTAATATCTTCTAATCTAAAGCATAGGTAGATTCTTACGCGCTTATTCATAAAAACTATTAGACTATTTTGTCACTTTCTTTCAAATTAGGAAGTTAGCACTAAAGAAAGAGACAAAACAGTTCAATAGTTAAAATGGGTTTATGACAGGTTTGACGCTTTTATGAACAAGGGGTTAGGTATACGTACCGCCAATATTTTGGACTTCACCCTGTATAAATAACTTACTTAAGTAAAAAAGTGTTTGCTTTCTTACATATCTCTTTTTTGAATAAATCTTAAATAAAAAATAACACTGGAAAGTGAATAAGTACAATTTCTACTGGAAAGTTCTAGATTACTATAAGCAGTAAAAAAAAAAATACAATACTGTTACAATTTTTTTTTATAAATAGCAATAAGGCATCGTAGTTTAAAAATATTACAATCTAATGGAAACGGAGGCGGTAAAGGGAAATAAGTAATAGAACACTACAAGACTATTACAAATGGACGGACCTCAAGTTTTGTACGGGGAGGACATTGAAAAAGTATCAAATTACTTCTGAGAATAATTCCAATATTGACACGTAGCCCGAAACGAATCCAATTGTTCTACTACAATAGATTTCGTTTTAAGTTTTTTAAATAAACTCTCGAGTGATTATTCCCAGAAGGCGAAGTTAAATTACTAAGTGGCACGACATTGGAGCGACCTCATTGGAAATAAGTTAGTTGATACGTGTCTTATATTATAATAAATTACTTCCTATGATAAATAATTTTTCATTTTATAAACAATTACATTTATAACTGATTTCAATAAAGAACAAATTAA